GTGCATTTCTTGTGCATTTGGAAAAGGAAAAGCGCATTTTTAACCTCTTTTTGCCGAGATGTAGGCAATAAAAGCGAGGTTTAGTGCATGACGAGTTTATACGAAAGAAGTTATTTTTTTGAAGGTAAAATACGTAAATAGAAAGCAAGCGTATTCGCAAATAACTCGTGAATTGATATTCATGCTTGAAATTAAATCAAAACATACAAAATGTAGAATAAAATCCATTTTGTACTTGTTAGCTTAGAATATTAATCGATGTTTGATCAATTACATATTCCCAGAGATGTTCGGTATTTGAAAATAAAAGACAAAAAGAGGTTAATGGGCGGTTATACATATTTAACGAGTATGTACTGTACATACACATATACAGAGTATCGTATAAAGTATGGGGCATTCGGCGAATAAGTTTTTCGACGAAAAATCACATTTTGAATAATTCAATGTGACTACTTCATAAATTATCTGAAATCTGAAAACATCTGAATCACGTACGCTGCAAGTTCTCTTTTATGTTGCTTCCATTTCGTAAATGGTATCACGTAAAGTGGACTGCCAATTTTGCTATTGAAAGAAACGAAATAATTATAGCATTAAATCATGTTAAAGTACAAAAGAATTTATGCACTTTTGGTACGAGGAAAAAGATATTCTTTTCTGGATGCAACACGCTTTATTGTACACTCTATATATAGCAGGGTTATTCTATTTTTTGATACGGCTAAGTGATTTGTACATGGACGAAACCGGCCTGTTCTTTTTTTTTTATATTAAACAGCTTTCTTAGTACTTTTTTAGGCTGGCTCTTCAAATTTGCAATTGAACTGCCATTTAATATAAATAATAGTAATACCGTGGACCACTACCTTTTCTCCACGCTAACAATTACGAATAAAATCTGAAGAGAAACGTTCCGAGTAAATTTAATAAAAGTTGTATACACAAAATTTAAAACACGAATGTGTCGACGAAATAGAACGAGATTCGAGTGGAATAATAAGGAAATATACGTGTTTGTATCCCTTTTTAATAAATATAAGGGCGGGAGCTCTGAGCCTCAGGATCTTTTACAAGGTATAAAAAGCTTACATGCCCGTCGTTAACCTTCTTATCAAATGTATTTCTTTTTAATGGGAATTTGGATGATTGTAAAAAATATACCTCTTTAATTATGAAANGCATGTAGGAAATGTAAAAGAACATTTTTAGTAGACAATAAGTTAACTTATTTTTAAGCTATGTAAAAAATATATTGAACTCCACTGAACCAATGATATTAATGCTGTACTTCGTTATTTATGACGACTTCTCCTTTTCGGAACAAATATCTTGTAAGGCTCGTCTTAATCCTGGGCTCGCTAGATCTAGAGGAGTCTTCTCTTGCTTATTTTTTATTGTTAAGTTAGCACCGTTTCCTACTAATAGCTTCGCTTCATCAACCCGATTCTCCTCGCACGTCAAATGTAACGCAGTATTTCCATCTGCATCCTTGTTATCTGCAATTAAATCGAAGTTTCGTGTTTACGAATATTGCAATTTTTTGTTTGACGAGACAATAAAATGCTTACCAATATATAATTTTTTTCCATGCTCTAAAAGAAGTTTAACAATAGCAATATTGCCTTTAGACGCAGCTCTATGTAAAGGTGTAGCTCCACGATTGTCTGTAATGTTAACATTTGCGTCTTTTTCTAACAGTAAAGCGCAGATTGACTTCCAATTTTTCGATGCTGCGTATTGTAATGCCGAATGGCCTTGCTGTGTTTTAGCGTTAATATCTGCACCTTCATTTATCAATGTATTAACGACTTTTTCGCGGCCTGCTGATGCCGCTAAGATTAACGGCGTCATATCTGTCTAAACAATCAATAATTTTTACATCAATATTAGTTGATACATTAAAAATTAATTTATACAAGTGTAGCGAGCTGTGTAGTGCGATTTATATACTTACATCATCGGTAGGATCCACCGGCACGTCAAGAGATAATAAATATCTTACTAATTCGTCGTGTCCACCAAGGGCTGCCCAATGTATTAACATTCGGCCACTCTGTAGGCATAAATTTATTGGATAGGGTAACCTTCAAAAATTTTGATTTACATTCAACTTACGCTATCTCGAGCTGTTATTAATCGTTCATCTTGATTTATTAAAGCCTTCACATCAGCGGTTTTACCGCGATAAGCCAGATCGTAAATACTATTTTCCGACATACTTTTCAACTTTTAAATTCAAATTATAAACACTGTTCGAAATATCAGAATCGTCACTTGGGATGACTATTCAAAATAAAAGGAAAATGTGCACGCAAATAATATTTATGTTAAAATTATTATATCTCAATATTTGAGTATGTTAGTTTGAACGTAGTTTAATAAAACAATTGTGCCACAACTGTTTATAAAAATTGTTCAATGTAACATCAGTAACGAATGTATATATGTTCGTTTCGATGGAACTGTCGACAATTTAGAACGGGGCATGAGGTAGATATAGACGTAAACAGAGTTGGAAACTGAAATGTATCGGCGTGTATACTTTACGTAGAAATCTATGCAAGTACTTGTGTTTCATACCATTTGAAGTATTTTATTTATTTTACGATATGGCCAAACATCATCCAGATTTAATCTTTTGCAGAAAGCAACCAGGAGTCGGTAAGATTTGTATATTTGCATCGTATCGAATTAGTTTTGATTTCAGGTTAGAATCGAATGATAGAATATTTTTCATTTTCAGCTATCGGGAGACTGTGCGAAAAATGTGATGGTAAATGTGTAATTTGCGATTCATATGTAAGACCATGTACTCTTGTCAGAATATGTGATGAATGTAATTATGGATCTTATCAGGGTCGATGTGTTATTTGTGGTGGACCTGGTGTCTCTGACGCTTATTATTGTAAAGAATGCACAATTCAGGAAAAGGATGTAAGTTTGATAAGAAAGAATTATTTGCTATTTTCCTAATTATGTTATCTTATTACATTTTTTAAATTGTTGTTTAACAGAGAGATGGTTGTCCAAAGATCGTTAATCTAGGGAGTTCGAAGACTGATTTGTTCTATGAAAGGAAAAAGTATGGGTTTAAAAGAAGATAAGAGTCGATGGAGAAAGATTCTAATTTGTACAAATGTCTTTTTTATGTTCTAAATAAATACTTTTCGCTGTAATGCTATTCATTGCCGTATAATACGTAATTATCTTTTTCCCTAAATCGATTAGGTTCCGTAAACATTCAAACAATTTTCTTTAATTAAAAATTACTATACGTGAAAAAGAATTCATATAAATTAAAAGCTGCTTGTAATTGCAGTAATTCGAACATAATAGCGTCTGCATAGTATGCAAACGCGCTGTTTATGCGCGCGATTTACAAAATTCTTTTTTCAACCAATCACGTTCGGATGTTCCATAAAAGTAGCGTCACTATTTCGACCAATCACGATTAACGTTTTAAGCAAAGTGGCTGATCCCGCTGATCATGTCGGTGTTGTGATATCGTTCCACATTCTTGCTCCTAATTTTCGTATTTAGTATAATTAAATATAGTTTACGTGGGTCAGATATTCGAAATATGCAAGAAGAAAGGTATCGTGGACCCTTTTGGAGAGTTCTGATGTCTATCGACAAGGAACTGCGGAAAGATGTGAGTTAAATCTTGGCTTCTCTCTCTAACCGGTACTTCGGTATGAATTTCATATTTTCTCATCAGTAATCTTATTATCTTTACATATAACGAACGTAAAACACGCTTATTAATACTCAATTATCATAATACGTGGAAGCTATTATTTTATTTCGAAGTGTAGTGTGCATATATGACATCGAACAAGCGAATAGAGAAATTATCAAGTTTAATATACAGTAAGTATAGTGAACCGGTATATTATAATATCAGTGTACAAATTTGAAAAATTCTCGATTCGAACAATCTCGGCTCGTACATACATGTCCATTACTTTTGTATATACATCGTATGTATCTGTTTTCGGAGATCATGCTTTCTATATACTTGTTAACAAAAAATAAGATATCACAGAATCACGTAGCACGTACAGAAAGTAAGATAAATATCTGTTACGAGCACGTATTCTCAGGAGTTGAAAACAAAGTTTTTTTTGTTGACATTCGTTCGGTTCGGAGCGTCGGGCACGTTTCGGCGAATTTTGGGGGGAGGATGGGAGAGGGTAGAAGCTCTAGCACGCACGGCGTAAAATTTAGTTGTCATATCATTTTGAGGTGAGGTGAGGTGAAGTGCGAATTACAATTTGATTGTTTTATATTCTTAATTGTATTTCTTTGTGTATGTATATGTTTATTGCATGTCGTTTGTTCTTTCTTTTACAGTTTGTAACAAAATACCCCTGTCCTAGTTGGAGTAGAGTCAGTGTTTGATTCGTAAGTATTAGTTTTTCTTGATATCTTTTTGAAGTGTCTAAGTAAAGTTTATCGCGAAAGTCGAGTCAGTGTGGAAAGCAGACAGCAAGGAGGACGACTCACCTAGACAGTGGATAATACAACAAAGTAGTAAGTCATTTGTGTTTTCTTAACATTTTATAATCTTTATTAATTGAAATATTTATAAATCAGAGTCGATTACGGTTTCCGTTTCGTTCGAAACATGAAATTTGGTTAGCTATGCAAAGTACGGAGAGCATCCCGATGCTCTCGCAATTTGCTATGTTGTTTTCATCGTGTTTGATTTTCAACTTACATTTTAATATAATCGAGTTCAAGATGCATTTAAAGCGATAAAACTAGAATACTTTTCTTTTCAAAATTCCAGCACTTATTCTTTATTTTTATTTCACACTTATTTAATAGTCAAATTCGCACAATTAAATCTGTAACAAAATAGCGACTCCACCGAGGATCCACTTGCTAGCCTTCTCTTTAGTCCTTAAATTAAACGTCCACACGTAGGTGGGACCTCGCGATCGGGTCTTGTATACAGGGCACTCGTATATATTTTTAAAGTCTTGCTTGTCCTGCGTAATCGCTCTGATGTACATGACGGGCATCAATGGGAACAATTCTTTGAAACGAGAATCCATGATGCATCCCGCTTGCATGTCCCATCGCGCACCTTCCATGTACAGTCCATTTATGTACGCACCTTCCCTCGGTGCTGCACTACATTATTGATATGAGTAATTGAGACAGGAAAAAGATATTGTGAAGATCGTCATAGAATAATGATACATGAATGGAGTAAGAAGTTTATTGTTGTAGAATATGATAAAAATGCATGTATGAATAGAGTAGGATGAAGTAGGGTGTGGTGAACAATTACGTGATTTCTTCCTTGAATTTTCTCATCACTTCACAATACAGACACATTTTGTCCAACGGCCATTCGTTTCTCCGCGCAGTTTGCTGCATGATCGCGGTTAACAATGATTGAGGATTGAAAAAACCACCTAGCCATATCGACGACGGTAGCTGCAGAAATTATGCAAATCAAATAAAATGATAGAAAGATGGACGTGTAACTCGATTAGAATTGATCTTCTACGTTAAAATCTGCGGTCCAGTTGGACAGTTCACTTATCCGATTTAACATGTCGGCAAACCAAGTAGTTAGTCCCAAATTTGAAGGATAAGCTCTCAGCGTCCAAGTTGGCGGCACAGCGTCCATCATAATGTACTTTTCTAAATCTTCCATCTCGGGATTAATAGTCAGTTCGCCCTTTTAAAAATTCAGTAGTAATCAGCTTGTCAAGTTGATGCGTTTACGGAAAACGTGTACTCGTCAAAAATAAAGAAAATGCGTTCAGAAATGCAATCATGGAACATCGACAGCGAAATACATGTTATAATCTTCCAAAGATAAAGGAAAACCTGCAGTCTGCCTACTTTTAATGAAGTTTGCTGGATTATTTTAATTACTTTTAATCCCAAGTCTAATTCGATCAAGGATCTCCTGAGTTCCTCACAAAGTAAATTCATTCTTTCGCACTCTTGCAAAGCAACCGTAACGAACGGTGTACGATCTTCTACCTGTAAATAATTGGATGCTCGTAGATACAAAATACTCGCAGTTTTCTGAAATAAAGATTAATGATAGATACTTTGGCGTAAAGCTCCATCATGTTAAATTCCTCTGGGAGCTTATCCAATAAATCTTCGATGATGATTTTAATTCTCTCCTCTTTGGAATCTTCACCTGCTCCCGCGTCGGTGACGGCTTGCGTCAGCATTCCCAATAACGTTCTGAATAGATTTTCCGCGGTTGACGTCAAGAATCCTAATGATCACGTAACGATTAAAATTTTATATGACTTGCGTCAATTTAGTTCTCAATGTACGTTAGTTTACCAATTTCTGCGTTTGAATGAAGTCCATAAAGAACGGGACTCTCAGCGGGTAGGAAATCGTCAACGTATTGATGATACGCAGCGTAATCGCTGTTTGGTGGCACCAGAAAGTCTGGTGCGAGGTACAATTCACCTACACAAGGAAAGAAAATACCATTTCTTTCTAATTGTCAATTTTATGTGGAAAATTCGCACCTTCGACTAATTCTGGTTTTAAATATTCTGTTAAATACGTTCTGCACAGTCTTCTGTCCCAGTCATCAGTTATATGACCGCCGTACATTATTTCCCCAAACAAATAACGGAGATCTTCCCAAGGTACTTTCATGCTGTTTTCCAAGTAATTGAATAATACGGACACGCTGATCGTTAGATCGCCGAAGTTGAATGGATAAGACTGGTTTCAAAGAGCAATTATTTAATAATTCTAACAACTTAATTTTGATAAATTGCGGGCGAAATCTAAGCAAAATTGAAATTAAAGTCGTTTACCCTGTTCCAACCTTGCGCTCCGAATTTCACACGCTGTGCGATTACAGCGTGGAAGTAGCAGAGCGCGAATAATATGGCTTTGAATTCTGTTTCCTTGCTGCACGATTCGAGAGTTTCTTGAGTAAAGTTATCTAACGCCTTGTGAATATTCGCTAGAATTCCAGACGGTGGCTCGTTTGTGATTTTTATTGCCGACTCCAATATACCCTGTATGAAATCTCAATTTATTAATGAGCTGATCCTAGTTGCGCAGTACTTATTAAATGATCAAACAATCGAGATTATTGTATCAGTTTATCTTTAATCGCGTACTCTTAATTACCTGAGGAATGAGAGTTTCGTGCGGATCCGGACTGGGTTCCGCGCTGATGAATAATCGATAATCATCGTGCGGCTGCTCCGCGCACTGCTCCATTTTTTTCTCCAATGTGGGCAACCATTTTTTCACCAAGTGGACGTTTTGCAAAATTACCCAGTGACCTTCGTCCGCTGATACTTGCACAGCTTGTTCGGCCACGGGTTCCTGTCCTTGACCCAGTGAAACGTTATGGAAGTTCCTCAATTCAGACGTAAAACCCAATTTCTCTCCCAGTTTTTCGACATCCTGTATTTTATTGCCTCCATTATAACTATTCATTTCTGTTATTATAATGAATTGTAACATCCTTTAATTCGTATCATACTGATCATTAACTATGCATGGATCTATTTGACTCGAGCGCTTGTTGAACCATAATTAATGATGCATTCATAGTATAAGTAATGCATAAAAAAACAGAGTAAGCGTAAATAAAAATCGATGCTTTCGTGCAGGCATCTTACTTTCAAAGGGTCGACACCGGGGGATAGAATGAAAAATACAGGAGTTCGTGAACTTGTTTCTTCAAAGGACTTGCGGAAAGAGGGAGATCTAGATTCTACAAATTTCGAACCTAGTTTCTCTTCTACGAAACATCTGATCGCGTAAGTCATGCGATCCAATCTAAGGCATCTCATGATGCACAGTCTTTGGAGAGCAGTTTTATTCTTCCAGTCCTGTGGGAAACTTTCCCGTTCCGGTGTTTCCGATTCGACGAATTTTTTCCACCTCTTCGCGGCACCCTCTATATCTTTCTCTAGATTTTGGAAGTCGGGGATTTGGCATAGATATTTGATTCCACCCCAACCGACGTTTGTCAAAAAGTCTACGGGACTAGTCAAGTCGTGTATGTACGGGAATTTCAATAGAAAATCCAGTTCCGATTGCGTTATCTCTTTTGATTCCATAAAAATCTGTGACAGGAGAGATTTGCACAAAATTAATTATACTTCAATGCGACAGAAGTGTGGAATTCATTCGTTCCGTTTATAAAAAATTTACTTGTATCGTCATTTGGCAGAGGAAAGTCAATTTATCTGCCTCGAATAATCCTCTACTAGTGTAGATGAAAACTAGATAAGTGATACTGTCGATTAAAAGAGCCACGCGTTTTATTAAATTCTCCTCCGGTTCCGCGAATCGAATGGCGTTCAGGAAGACGACGCTGAACGCTTTCAGGGAAAATTGATACAGCATGTTTATCTTTCTTAAATCGTTCAGAACAAAGTACAAGAGACTGGCTCTGCCCGCGACGGGCCGGTAAATTTCTCGCGCCTCGTCGATTTTCACAGCGGTCACTTTAGCTTCCGCCACTTTTATTTCTATCTCCGCAGCCGTCTTCTTCGTCGTCTCGAGATTTATCACGAGATCGACGTCGCTCAATATGTTCGGTCCAGCAGTCGACAATCTTTAGAAAAATATCATGTTACGAAACTGCACAGAGTGCCTCAAAGATTTACCTATGTAAATTCACTGCAAATGTAAAACTACGGTTTGGTGCAAAAAGTGTCAGTGCAAGATTTCTATAAAAAATGTGTTAAACGATCGAGTGCATACATAAAATGATAAATTCCAAGTCTACTTAGAGAAAACTATAATAAAAATACATCATGGAAATAATTGAACAAACTGCAAAGAGTATGATTACAAAATATCTGGTAAATATATTTGCTGATTTACCTATGTAAAAGATCGTCTTCCAACATCTTCAGCGTGATTTTGAAGGTGTTTTGCTGGGTTGTTAATTCAGCTTTCTTCGACTCTAAATCAGGCCTTTCGGCTTTCACAACGTCCCCTAAAAGCTGTTCCTCCAAACCGTCTTTAGTTACAGTGAAATTGATAAGCGTTGTTTGTGCTTGTATTTCCGGTTTGTAATGAGGATTGGCCAGCTTCGTTTGTAGAATCAATCGGAAACGAGGATCGTAATCCACTTCTCTATCCCAGATTTTGATCGCCCTAAATCCGTTTCAAAATTACTTGAGTATGTAGCAGTGTTTCAAGTGATCGAGTAGAATTGGCGTACTGCAGATTTGATGCATTTGGAGAATTTTTTAATGTGCAGAAAATATACGAGTTAAATATTAAATTTTGAAAGGTAAAAGTGATCTCGTGATATTACAAGTATTTCAGTTTAAGTACGCAATCCACTAATAAAGAATGTAGCTATTTACTTTCCCTTTTTTATCAAATCCCTCTTAATAACTGGATCTAAGACGGGATCGATGGTTTCCATGATATTCTCAATCAGGACAATCCCTCCGTCCGCGATAGCGATTTCGATCAGATTTAGATAATTCGGTTGAGTCAGTCGAAGCACTTGCAAACCTTCGCCATATCGATTCTTTATCCATTTTATTCCTTGCAACTGTGGATCGATCATCAGGGGCCATCTCGACGAGTTCATTAAAATCGTCGCGTTCTCAGAAGACATGGTATCAGACGGCAAACCTCAACGAATATGACATTTTTAATTCCACTTATGTTTGATGATGTATAATAATCGTTTCCATTATGTATGAACCTTCATTGTTCCATTGTGCAATTTGTGCATCATCGGTTAAAAATGATAGAACGTCGAGACCTTCAGTTCTTGGTATTTTCTCTTCCAAGTTTTCCAGAAACGGTAACCAATTTTCGAACATCAAGTCTGATCTATATCTCCTGGTGAAGCAACCCATGTACGATAAAAATGCTGTTACCAGCAGAATGTCGCCTGGTATCGTTACGCACGAATCCGTCAATCTAAATGATTTATCAGAAATGATCATTAATCATTTAAGGATTTATAGGCTGTAGACTTAAACAATGCTAGCATGTTGAATTTGTTATTGTAGATTCCTATTACTATTAAGAAGCTGCCTGCAAAATTTGAAATCAATTCATGGGTTCTTTGAAAAATTATAGAGATTTAAAAGTTGCATGTACTCTTATGGTAATCAGCAGTAACTGAAAGAAAACTTTCTTGGTGTGCACGCGCGAAGTTGGAAGAAATAACTGATTTGAGGAAATACAAGGCTCAAAAGTCTGAAATTTTTGACGCTTTTTAGAATACATTTCAATATTTCTCGATATTTTGAAAAAAAAAAATTTTTTATTTTTCCGAGATTTTTCCAAGGGGTACCCCTTCAAATTCTTCGAAATTTTCGTTTTTTGCCAATAATTCCTA